TCACAAACAGCTAATTCACTGAATAGGACAGCATTTCATCTGTCAAGCATAAATCAATCAGGAATCAAGTGGGAAGCCAGAATAAAAGAAGTCTTGCTTTGTTAACTGGCAGAGTGAAGATCCGTATGCAAGTAAATCTGCATGAATACATTGCAAGAGCTTTTTCAGGGGAAAATGGAGTGTTGGAAATGCTTGATAAGCAAGATTATTGACAGTGTTAAAATCCTGATGGGGCAGACAAACATACAGAAAGCCATAACAAAACAGCTTGGAAAAATAAATTACACATAATATTTTATAGCTGTTTAGAATGTTAAAAGTTTTAGACAACCACTTTTTACTTTTCTTTTCACAAAAGAAAAGGGAAAGAGTTGACATGATAAACAAGGTAGATTGTACAAATATATTTCCCCAGAGGTAAACATGATGACACGGTGATTCAAGAATAAAATAGGACGTTTAACCTTCCAAGTAAAATATGTAATTAAAAATGATTCAGACAGAAATAGTACCAAACACGGAGGGCCTATACCGTTTGATAAAGGTAGAACAGTATGTGCCTATTCCTTTTTATTTAAATATTTGAACTGTGCAAATGTATATTCAAGCACAGAAAGGAGAAGGATAGCCAATATGGACATGTTTAGGTAAGGTTAAGAGAAATCAAAAGCTTCTGAGTCATATGCCAACCTTCCAACATTACAGCTACACAAGTCACAAAGAAGTGCTCATCCTTGGATTTAGGAGCATTGAGCACATTGAAAATGCTGCACCCATTCAAATGATTTCTATGGAATCAAGCCATACATCTAATGAAAATGTAGTCAGGAAACAATGAGAAATATAAAATATAAACAAAAATATGTTTCTTTTCCCCCAGATTCCAGCCATTGTAAATATTATGTTTAACAGATTTCCATGTTCAGCAAGATTTCCATATGCAGGTGCAGAACCAAAGTACTGTATCAACAATCCACTTGGAACGCACAGCAAAATGCATAGCTGCATACATGTATTACAGAAAAATAATTCTTTCTTCAAAAGTCATGCTGGAATACCCCCCCCCCACTTTTGACAGAATGGCATTTGCTCCCTTAGATCAACAGCTAACTCTTCAAATGAATATTGATTGATAGAGAATACTGCCAGCTGCAATTTTCAGTGTAACACTTCCTTTTTTCAGCATTCAGAACTTTCTGAAGTGTTCATCATTAAGTGTGAAATTGTCCATGCTTCTTCTCTGTCTGAAAATTGAGTATTTCTGGCAAGTCAGAGAAAACTCCCGATAGCTGTTTCTATGAGGAGGAGGAAAAATATTTGTACATTTATTTTTTAATGAAATTTACATATTAAAGATATTAGGAGCCTTGGTGGTGCAGCAGACTAAAGTGCTGTTAAGTAGCACTCAGCTGCCAGCTGCCTGCAATTACTGCAAGTTCAAATCTCACCAGGCTCAAGGTTGACTCAGCCTTCCATCCTTCCGAGGTAGGTAAAATGAGGACCCGGATTATGGGGGCAATAAGATGACTTTGTATAAAAAGAACACCGCTTGGGGAGGCCGAAAGCCCTACTAAGTAGGTATATACAAAAAGTATGAAGGCTATTGCTTAACGCATTGTAAGCCGCCCTGAGTCTCCGGAGTAGGGCAGCATATAAATCGAACCAATAAATAAATAAATAAATAAATAAAGATTCAAAAAGAGTACTTAGACAAGATGAGGAAAGAAGGAACACCCAATTTTATGACTTGCTGAACAGAAGACAGGGATACAGTAGGGGTCCCAGCACTATCGAGGTGGGAAGGGGGAATCTCAGTCTTTGCTTTGGTACTGGCACCTGTCCCTGAAATAGTAACACACTTTGTTACTGCTACATCTATTCAAATAGCTACGAATGCAAGGACTGAGGTTAGGGGGCGGAGTGGGGGGAGGGAGTCAGTATTTCCTAGGTCCTACTTTATTTTTTTTGAGATCTACTGAAACTATTTTTTGAGATCTACTGCACTATTTTATGCTAATTAATTAGTTCAACATGCTGTATGTATGAATTGGCAAAGTACATTTTAAGATCTGAATACTCTTTTAGCTGTTATGTAGATCTTTCGTTTAGCAAGCCAGTCAAACACCTGAAATAGATCTAATTTTAAGGTGTTCCCTCTAGGAACATATAAAATCCATTTCTACTTAGTACTTGTATATTCATTTTTCATGTCTTGCAAGTTTTTGCTAGCCATATGTTTAAAAACATCACCATTAATCACGTTTGATGCCCTAATTTTCATAGCTCACAAATTATTTTAAGATCCCAGACTCATACCTAGAATTTCCCCTTCTTTTACTGTGAACAAAGCACAAAGAAATGTACCTGCTGGGATTTTAAACATTTAAAATTATGAAATTTTACAAGTTTGAAAAGACGGCTGCTAAAATCAGAAACAGGTAGCAAATCACTAATCTATGTGAAAATGTATTGTATTGGTGATTAAATGCATACAATTAAAACATTCTTAAAACGTTTATACTGTTTTTCATATTTGCTGGCTAATATTTCATTTTTCAAGTGAAAAGAGATCACAAATTGCTAATTCTGCTTCAGAAGTTCAGTTTTGAGTTAAATAAATATATATAAAAAAATTAAAGCTAAACATTTAATAAGAGTGGCAATTTTAATTAAGGCACAACAAGAAGAAAAGTTATTCTGATATATAGTTGCCTAATGCTTTTTTATTTCAGCATCAAAATTTGTTAAACCATCACAGACATATTCATATTTGTCTATGATATATATATATTTAGTTCATTAGGTAGTGAACGTCTTTTAACTTTCATGTGACCAACAAAATTTTTTAAAAACAAAGTTAAATCCTGAAACAAGCAAGGCAGAGATTATAGGTTCAATATTTCTTCCAATTTAAAAACCTCAACAGGGTTGTCCCAAAGGTGTTTTTTCAAAAGACAACTGGACTTTCTTTGTTTTTCCTTGAAGACATTTGACTTCTTCAGTTCTGAAGTGAACTGAAGTGAGTCCATGAACTGAAGAAGCTTCTTGGATGAGAAGCGAAATTTCTTCAAGAAAAAACAGAGGAAGTCGAAAAAGCACATTTGGGACAACCATGACTTGGATGACTTGGAATCTCCAGAGACACTCAACAGGGCCTAATATGCAACTATTTACATTCCAAATAATCCTACAATCAGCAGTTAGCCAGCTGAGGTAATGTAGGGCATGTGCCTGGTTGTTTGCTTGCAGATGTTTCATTACTTGATTAGGTGACATCATCAGTGCTCAGAGAGCACCAAGGACTCCACAATCTAACTTCCACCACAATATCAACCAGCTGATTTATACAGTGCACTCCAACTGTGGTGAATCATATTCAAATGACAATAATGCAGATGGACTAACAGTAATCTCAGAGGCATGGTGAAAGGAAGGACTTACTCTATTGATTTTGAAGTTAAAAAGCATCCAGGTTATCTCGCTATCAGTCTATCTTTTTAAACTACTTTCATTCCAAAGTGCAATCCCTTAAAACACATTTAAGAAAATAAAACCAACATTTGTTTTTGCATCAGACAATTTATATAAATTTATGTAATTTTGCATAATTTATTATATACTGAATATATTGAAATGTTTCAAGACAGATTCTAGCAGATTCCATGAATTACATGCTATTAGTGTTGAGATAGATCCTATTTTGGCAGATCACATTGAGTATGTTTGAAAAGGATTTATCACATATTGATTTGTTATTTAAATTTATAGGACTGTCCAATCATTGTTTCTGAGCACCTTACAAGGATTAAAAGCAAGATAAACGGTGCCTCTTGGCCATTTACAAGACTATAGATAATGGAAAATGCCAGTGTCTAACTTCCATTTATACAAGCTATAGACAATGGAAAAACATACCACCATAGCCCAGAACATAGGCTACGACAGCCAGATTTTAGGGTTCTTATGATGGTGGTGGGGCCATGTTCACTCTTTGTCTTCCACCAGCAGTGTTCTAGATGTCTCTTCACCCATTTCATCCCCCTCAATTCCTCAGTATACCATGGGGGGGATGATACATGTTAGGAGAGGTCTCATGAGTGCAGTTCTATCCAGAGCCCTAGACATCTTTCTGTTCTAAGTAGCAATTAAGAGTTTGGAAGGACTATGCAGCAGAAGATAAAATAAATAAATATATAATCTACATTTATTATTTTCAATATGAAAAGTGTTTTAGTAACTACTATGATGAAAGTTTATAGTCACGGAAGTAGAGTTTTTATGCACTTGTTTTTTGTAATATGTATATTCCTATAATATTTTCCATATTTTGCTTGTAATACCATGGCTATCTGTCTACTACCGGTAACATCTCTAAACCTGCAGTGATCTATTAGATTTGTTTTAATATTTAAATGTATTTGGAAAAACATGTTCGTAATAGCAGTTATGAAGCCTCTTCCCTCTTTTTTCAAAGTATTTTATTCAGTGTGATTACCATCAGATGAATTGGTATGTTTAGCAAATTATAGGATATCATTTCTGGCATTATTTACTTTCCCTTATTTACTGTAAAGTTTTATACAAATGTACAAAAAAGTAAATTCTAACTTAAAGAATAACAACATAATAGTTTTCTGTTCTATGCACTTCAAATCAAATGGGATGTTTGGTTAATAATGAGAAATTCTACACATGTCTACTTAATATATATTGGACTTTACTGGGGCAACCAATAAGAATAAATTCTTATTTAGCCATGAAACACACTGGATAATCTTGTACCAATTGAAACTGAAATGTAGACTATCTTACTACTCTGTTACTTCAGATGCTAAACAACCCAAACAAAATCCATATTTTATTGTTGCAGATTGTAAGCAATTATAGGAATGTTATTGACATTAAAATACTTAAATCTTATTGCATTCTAAATTATTTCATCATTATTATGTTTCATCATAATGTAGACTTTGGTGAACTAGAGTCAGTTTCAACAAACAAATGAAAAGTTGACTTTATTTGATAGGATAACATATATGAAATATATTATAGTTAATAATTTTTTTTAAAAAATAGAATGGCACAAAAATGTAAAAAATACTTTCTGAAACAATTCTGTGTACGATTTAAGGTAAGCAAAATTTTCTGGAAGACAAATTTGTTCGGATTTATTCCAAGTTAAATATCAGAGTAGTTGTTGCTCCTGTGAAGGTACCTGGGCAGTTTTTTTGCCCAGTTATCTGGGAATGGTTTGGCCCTGTTGCTCCTGAATATGAGTGCAAGCACTTGTGTTTTAGATCCATGCCCATCCTGGCTTGTGAAAGCTTCCTGGGAGGTGACGTGGTTGGATTCTGGGAGTGATTAATACTTCCTCATGAGAGGGGATAGTGCCCCAGTCTTTTAAGGAGGCTGTAGTCTGCCCTCTTCTTAAAAGACCATTTCTAGACTCCACCATATTGGGTTATTTTTTGTTCTATCTCTAACCTTTCCTTTTTGAAGAAGGTTGATGATTATCTGGACCACTTCCACTCAAGGTTCAGGCCTGGATATGGGATGGAAAGGACATTGGTCACACTTTTTGATTATCTCTGGCAGAAGCAGGATGGGGGTAGTATGTCCATCCTTACCCTACTTGTAATTTCATATATATCTTCTAAATAAATAAAACAAATATATACACTGTATCAGTAACATTCTTCTTTAAGGTGTCATATTTCTACTTTTCATGAGAACAAAAGTGTTGTAACAATTACAATAAATGAAAAGAGTCCCTCTTTAAGGGAGATGGATGGTTAACAATAGGATAACTAACTAACTAGCTGAATAAACATTATCAATATTTTTCATTTCCTGAAATATTGCAGTATCAAGGAAAATATGGATCATATTCTTGAGTTGGATTGATCCAATTATCCAACCAATTACAGCATTAAGGGAAAGTCAAATCCTGTAATTGGCCTATACCAGTGATGGCTAACCTTTTTGCCATCATGTGCCAGGAGCAGGGGAGGAGGGGGTCATGCGCACATGTGCCCACACCCATAATTCTATGCACCCTGACCCTGTGCATGCGCGCACGAACCCCTGCTCCCGGCACGCGATTGCGCGGATTACGTGGTGGGTCCAGTAGGCCCATTTTTCTCCCCAGGCTCCAGAGCCTTTCTAGGAGCTTGGGGAGGGTGAAAACAGCCTTCCCCACCCCCCCGGAGGCCCTGCGGAGGCCGGAAATGGCCCGTTTGCCAACTTCTGGTGGGACCGGAAGGCCCAAAAATCAGTTGGCCGGCATGCACATGCGCACCGGAGCTGAGCTCACATGTCCACCAATATGGCTCCACGTGCCATGGGCCTATACCATATATAATGGAATATTGTTAATTCTTAGACAATGGGTATAAGATACAGCCTAAATTAATAACTGATCAAAGTTCTTTTTGTATGAAATGCATATTTAAAATTCACTACTATTAAGAGGTCATCCATTTGCACGTATACGAGCTATATATTTCTTCTTTAATCTTCTTTTGAATTCATTTCAGTGAATTATCCTTGTAGTTTTTATTTTGACAGCTCTCTTTACAGCAGTAAAACAAAATGTGTGCATTGCAAATGGCAAGGATTCAAATTTCAGCTATGTTTATCCAAAATAGCACTGAACTGCTTCTGTACTTATGCTATACTGCCTACAGCCTTACGGAAGGGGAGACAGATGGGATGAATTTAGCAGGGAAACAGCTGGGGCTTGAAGTAGAGACAAGCAAAAGTTTTGCTATCAGGCTTCATTATGTATCAAGGTACCAGTAAAATGTGTATCCGTAAGGCAGCCAAAAAAAGTGTGTCATTTGACTAGTGATAATTACCTTTTCTCAACAGCTGACAATGTTCTAAGTAGCATTAAATAGGTATAATAATTAAGCAATAAGACAAGGCAGGCAGTGCTTTGCTTGGGATTATAGCTTGCCTCAGGTATGTTGCTAGGCGCAAGGCTGAAGGCTGAGTGTTTTTAGACACTTGAGAAATGTAACAATCCCTAAGAAATGTACTACCTGGAATGTCTTGCTGCTTTTAAACAGACGTCCAGAGATGTTAGACACTTCAAAATCCTGTGGATTTTGCTGACATGAAAATAAAACATTGAATGCCCAGTATCTTTTATTTCTATCTTTAAAAGACCAGTCCCTTATTTCCATACTCAATTAAAAGATTCAACATGGGTGAATATTTAATATCTATCCATTACAATGGAACATCATAATCCCCATAGCTAGCAATATTGTTTGTATTACTAATGAAATAAAGCTGTTTGTGTCAAGGTCTTACGTTTTTTGATTTATGATTTTGCAATAGTTCTGCACATTCTCAGCCACATTTCATCTCCTTCAGTATTTATCTGCATATGGATATCCAAAAAACCAGCCACCAGATAATCAATACCAGTGTTATATTATTTCAGAAAGACATGAAGAACTGTTCCATTATAGTCAATTGTTTCATTAGAACAATCTGATTTAGAATATGGCAGGCTAGCAAGAACAGCCTGTTTGATTCTGGAGCAAAAACAAAACAAAACAGGAGTTTACCAATTCAGCATAGAAGCAACTAAGTTAGAAAAACAGACAAAATGTATTACAAGCCCTCAGTGGCCTATAATTGATTTTTTCTTAAGAGTCAAAAGAGGTATGATTATGATTTTAAAACGCTCTGAGATATTGAATATGCATTGGACTGCTACACAGAAGATTCTGTAGTAGACAAGGAGAAAAAAGAACAATTATAAACGAACTGCTTGTCGATGTTAAGTTACTAAATAGGAACAGTCTCTTACATTCTTACAATCTAATGCTTCATGTAACCAACGTAATCCATAAATGCATTTAATATCATTCTCAACCCAGATTACTTTCACAACAATATTTCACATTCCACTTATTTATACATTTTAAAAGTTCTTTCTAAAAGAAAAGATTTCAAAGTACTCTTGGTCACAAAGCAATTAAAGTAAAACCAGAAACAATCAGTGTGCCATTTAAAGAACTCTGCCAAATAGGTTGGTAATTAGATTTTATTGTTATTTGGAGTTCATATAAGGCCTATGGAAGGATCCCAATTTTGTTAAATACCCAAAGTGGATATTTGCTGTGTGAGATCTGCCGCTTACTAGTATTTACAAAACATCATACTGTGCATCTTGAAATATCAGAGGGATACCACACAGAAACTGAACTTAAACACACAGATGTATCCATAACACAGAAATGAAGACAATGAGAAAATAGTAATTAGACATCAATTTAAATACCTTCTTAAAAACAATTATTTAAAGACAAGTGAATCCGCTGGAAACTAGCTATTAAAATCAGCAAAGAGGGTTCCGTTCAGAATTATGACATAACATATACCTAAAAATAAAAGCAGAGTATTTCTGCAACACTTTTAATCAGGGTCAAATTCTTAAGTAGCTTGTGAATTAGATGCCTATTATGGGATATGGCATGCTGTTTTTGTTTAGTATTACACTGGTATCTTTCCATAAATCTGCTAAGATTGTATTGGCTCAATTCTTGGATCTTAGATCTTAGATTGGCTGCTTTCCTGAAGTTAAAGAGTTATCAAAGTACTGGTCATATAAATAAATTATGATCCTTAATTCTTCATTCAACTTAATCTATCAAAATGCTTCAAAATGAAATTAAAGTGAGATTTGACCAAAATTTAATCTAGACAACCTATCTACTTGTAGCTTAATAACACAGGCATCCTATTCTTATACCATAAGTAATTTATTAGTTGTAAAAGTTATTTGCAAAATGAAATAATGGCACTTATGACATCTGCCTTTTCTGTCTATAGCAGAGATTTTTGGGTAGATCTATAGGAGAACCTTCACAGATGGGCTGTTTTCCTCCTTTCTTCTGCCTTTACATGTGTATAGATTCAATATATGGAGATGGTGGGAAATAGAGAAATGGGAAATATGCACTGGTTTTCCTTCTTATAATGACTCTGCTGCCTAATATATATGTAGTGGATAAGTCAGGGAAAAAACCTTGATTAGACTTTTGATCTTTTGCAATCCTATATACGTGAGATCTGTATCCCACAGTAGAATGGATCATAAAAGTATGGTCATGTCTAAAGAACCATTCAAGACAATATTCCTAATTCATTCTTCAAGTAGAGTTAACCACATATTTTCTATCATTAAGAAAATTTCATTACAACAACTGACTGCAAAGGATATTAATCAACAGAATCTGATGGATTCCTTTAAGAGCTATAGCTCATGCGTGAGGAGACGAGAGAATGAGCAAAGAAGGGGAATATTAGTAAATTCACTTCTATAAAATATACACTATAAAAATATGATATCAAATATTACATGTACCACAGTGAAATAGATTTCATAAATGCTATGCTTGCTTTCAATTCTGAAAAGGCCACCACTCCAGGTATTTGGCTGCCAATACAACCCAGAAGCATAATACACATTTGACACATCGAGTCTTTATAATCTAACATCTATGAAATTAGACAAGATTTTTTCCTTATTTATAGTAACAGGCAAGTGCAGAGCTCTGCCATCTTGTTACACAGATGGCTGTACATTTTTTTAATTGTTAACTTACAGCCACTGATGCCTGAGGAATAGACACACATCTGCCCCAAACTGCCAATTCTCTAAGCTTTTCTTTTGAACTATGGTACTCAAAAGAGATCAAGTAGGTGTTAGAAGCCAATTTTAAAAGCAAAATATTGGTCATATACATAGACATACAGTAGACAAAGCTCCATAGACAGCAAAAACCTCTTTTGGATTTGCACATACCAGGTTAACTAATCAACAAATATTCACTGAATATAAAATATTATTTGAACGGATGTTTTTAATAGTTACCACATCATGGAAATAGCTGGTATTAATTACATGTGTGACTGATTCATATAGAAATAAAAACATGAATGTTTTTAAAATGTCATCTCTTGTCTTAGGAGCTCTCTTTTCCCTGAGGCACTGATACATTAATTCTTCTACATGAATACAAGCAAATTTATTTTAGTTATATTTTGATCTAAGAAAAAGAAAACATATAACATTTAGACAAATTCCAGTGAAAGTTTATGGAGATTCTCAGTCTTCCAGGTCATGGTTTTCCCAAAGATGCTTTTTCAAGAGGCAACTGGACTTTCTGGTTTTTCTTTGAAGACGTTTCGCTTCTCATCCAAGAAGCGAAACATCTTCAAAGAAAAACCAGTTGCCTCTTGAAAAAGCACCTTTGAGAAAATTCTAATGAATTTGCATAATTACAGCAATCTAACCATGACAGTGGTTACAAAACCCCGTAGTTGTAAATATTTTTAATCAGGAATCAAAATTTAAGGAAATCATTAATACATACAGGATTGCATTAGACAATCCTGCCAATATCACTAATTTGTAAAGTTTTTTTTAAAATCAAAACTGGATTTATGGCACTCCCAGCCAATTATATTTTTCTTAGTGTGATAACTCTGGTTTTATGTCATTACAAATAATTATAAGCGACTTTTCAGATAATCAACTTTAAAATATTATTTAAAAGAGTAATTTACATCAGGAGTCTCCAAACCCCGGGCTGTGGCCCATTCGGAACAGGGCCATGCAAGCAGGTGAGAGGATGCATGAAGCTCCATCTGCCACTTGCATAGAACCATACCCTTCTCTCCTCCCCCCGCTGGTCCACCAAGCTGGAAAGGTTGAGGACCGCTGATTTACATGAAGCATGTGTTTCATCAAGTAAAATTGAACATTTAATTGTAGTTAGACCTCACTTTTGAAAAATTAACATTTGGACAAAAAAATACTATAAAAAACTTGAATAGACTAAGATATAGTTGCTATTCTGAAGGAAGAAGTAGAAAATATGCTCATAGAGCACCTGTTTGGAAAAGATTTATCACTTGGTTTCTTAGTATCTGCCTGGTACCTGCAACAAGAAGGTGGAACTGGTGGAGCACATTAGTTAGTTTCTTAAAACATCAATCCTGGGTGATTAGCAATATCTATCTGCTACAGGGGTGGGTTCTAAATTTTTTTACTACCGGTTCTGTGGGCGTGGCTTACTTTGTGGGCGTGACTTGATGGTCATGTGACTGGGTAGGTGTGGCCAACTCACTACCACTCATGTCAAGGGGTGCCTCACCTGGCCCCTCTCCTCCCAGCCATTCCTTGTCACACCCAGCCTCAACGTACCTATAGTTCTGTAAAAATGTTGTTCACCTTTTTTCAACTTTATTATCTACATACCATAGATGCACTTTCATGTACCACTGAAAGGAGGAAATGGCTCACATGCTTTGCCCAAGAATGTGATAGGCAACAGGCTTTTAAGGGGCTGCCAGAAAGAAGGGTGGGCAATGTATTTTCCAAAGCACCAGTGAAGGCAAAACAAGAAGCAAAGGATGGAAACTGAACAAAGAGAGAAGCAACCTAAAACTAAGGAGAAACTTCCTGACAGTGTGAACCAATATAGGTGCAGAAATATTTCAGTCATAATTCACATATAAAATAGCCATTCGTGTAATACAACCTGCCTATTGTTCAAAACAGTCATTAGTATTATGGCTGATGTTTGACAGCAAGCCTAAAAGTCAAAGATTACAAGAGTGCTTACAAGCATATTAAGATAGACTTATGCAGTGGTGGATTTCAAATTTTTTTACTACTGGTTCTGTGGGTGTGGCTTGATGGGTGTGGGGTAACAGGGGAAGGTTACTGCAATATCCCCATTCCCTCCCTACTCCAGGGGAAGGTTACTTCAAAATCCCCATTCCCTTCCCACCCCACTAACCTGCTCTGGGAAGGAATCAAACTCCCCCCTCTTCATTTCCCCAAATAAAATATTACTCATAAGAAAAGCAAGGAAAAATCAAGCTGCTAAGGAACCTGCCTGATACTCATTCCACATTCCTGCCAGCTGCATAAAGGAAACTTTGTAAGAAGGAAACAGCTACCGGTGCTTAGAGATAATAGAAGGTGGAAGCCGGAAGTTTGGTTCCATCTAAAAGCAGGCAGAAAACTCATTGAAGACAGGATATTTCACAATGGAAATCGCCCAAACTTTTTTAGAAACACAAAGCCCATGTTGCACAAACCCCAAAACTTCAAAACATACAACCATGTATGAATCCCTTCTCTTATCCAGTTTGCTGTCCAGCTGACCCAGAAACGAACTGCTGAATGTCACCGCTTCTACAAGTAAGAACTTCCCTCTAGCAGCTGCTTCTTGGCTTGTCAATTTAAAGCGACTGCGTCTTTATTTCCCCCCCTTCTTCTTTGCCAAGTGATCTCCTGGCTGAGAAGCGTTCCTGATTTTTTCCTTTTAGCCGATCAGTTGGGAGGCTTCTCAATTTAAAGCGACGGTGTCTTGTTTTTTTCCCTCTTTGTCAAGTGAGCTTTGATATTTTCCTTCTAGCCGATCAGCTGGGAGTCGGGAGGCAGCGAATAGATTGGGGGCAGGGGCAGGCAGAAGTGGTACTTACTGGTTCTCCGAACTACTCAAAATTTCCACTACCAGTTCTTTGGAACCAGGAAGAACCAGTAGCAACCCACCACTGATCTGCTAGGATGAAATAACACCCTGCACAACTAAAAGATCACAACAAAAAAAATACATGATTACACTTTGGGGTTAAGACAGTGGTGAAATCCTCCGTGGTTTGCTACCGGTTGCTGCCCGTGCATGTGTGGTGTGTACAAATCGCACGCTGCATGCAGTGTGCGCCAAACACATGCTGCATGCATGCGCATGTGCAGTGTGCACCAAACACGCGCTTCATGCGGAAAAAGGACACTTTTTAAGGTAGGTAGAACAGCAATGGGGGGGGGGACAGCTGTACCGTG